TCGAGGACATGGTTTAGTGGTGGACTTGGCAGTGACAGGTTGACGGTTGGACTCGATGATCTTAAGGGTCTTTTCCAACCTTGACAATTCTATGATTCCATAATTCTATGATCTCGGCATAGGGATTATTTCAGAGTGTACATCACTACAGAATGGCCCTTACTGCACCTCCCTCTGCAGGATGAAGTAAACAGCAAGGATGAAGACATCAGGAATGCTGCAGACACATTTTCTAACGAGGTGGCAAAGATGACAAGCTGTCCAGATCAGTTAAGAAAAAGGTCACTCTCCTTAAGATAGATAATTGACAGGTCTATGAATTTCCATGATCCTTCTCAAGGAAAAGACCACACAATGCTATATTCTGCCCTTACAACAGAAGCATGGAAAAAAGACTTAGGAGATCACCAGTTATCTTCTCTGAATGTAAATCACATTGCAATGCTCCACAGACAAATACGCATTCACAAAAGACGTATGTAATAAGATGGTACTGCTAGAACTTTAAAAGGACAGATCAGTCAATTCCAGGGATTCAATGCAGATTTCATATCATTCATATATTTAACAAGCATCTTGCAAAGCCTCATAAAGATATTAATTAAGAAAATTCCTTGTCAGTTCATTGCATGACATACATAACATTATGTACATATTACTAAATGACTGCTATGGTCAATGCTATTTCACTGGAAGAAAGCCTTAATCTTTGATGCAACGATGTCATGAAGGAATTGTCCACAAGATGTTGTCTGTTTTCTGTGATTCTATCAGCTGGTCTAATAAAATTATTGCCTCTTCCCACAGATCTTGCTTATTTTAGCATTTCTATTGTCCATGGGAATCCTCTGAATGAAAAATGTTAGCTGTATCTGACAGCATCATAAATTACAGGGCTGTTATTGCAGTCATATGTCAAAATAACATCATCATTTTGACATCTAAAGATCAAACCAAGGAAACCCAAAATCCGTAATTGATAATAAAAAATTATTGCCTCTTCCCACAGATCTTGCTTATTTTAGTTTTTCTTTTGTCTGTGGGTCTTCTGTGTGTAAAATGTTAGCTGTATCTGACAGCATCATAAATTACAGGGCTGTTATTGCAGTCATATGTCAAAATAACATCATCATTTTGACATCTAAAGATCAAACCAAGGAAACCCAAAATCCGTAATTGAATGTTAACTCTGGGTTTTGGGTTTTTGTTTCAGTTCTTTTATAACTTTATTATGCATAGACCTAATATCATAGCTGGGGGGACGGACTCAAGGGGACTCGGGGCGGGGGAAAAAAACTAGTAAATAGACAACCTAACTTCACACTCAGGTTGGGTTTTTTTACTATTTTTTTCTGCCTCTTCTTAATACCACGAACTGCACTTATAGTATAGACAATACTATCAAAATGTAAGAAAACAAAGCACTTAACATGCCCTAAAGAGAAGACAGATACTCACTGTATGTTGACCATAGCTGTATCTTCTCTTGGTGTGTAGTCGTAACATAATAAAACCTAAAGGGTCTATTTCTTCTGTTCCATCCCTGTAACTCCCACCTTCAAGTGAGCAGTTTTTCCATAACTGAGCCCTTCCTTAGCAAGTAAATAAAAATGCTTACCCGTTGCCTGAATTATGGGAAATCTCACTGGCTTTTTCCTTTTCCCTGTCCTTAAGAGGAAGGTAGCCAGGATCTCATTAAATAAGCTCTTAGCACTTTTAAAAAACTGTCCCAAAAGCCAGCACTGTAAACTTGAAATCAATATGTATCATTATGAAAAACAACTAGCCTCTGGCTTCTCCTTTTGAAACTGTCCCACATATTGAATCAAACCATTTGCTTTTCATAGTTTCTGTTCTAACAGAGGAGAGTCAGAAAAATTTAAAAGAAGGCAAAAGCACAACAAAAGAAGCACAGACATGAAAGGTTATAGCTTCAACACTAATAGAAAGTGACAGACTTCCTAGGAAAACACTGCTATCTGGATTTTGAATTTAAGGACTGTTTTTGTTACGTTTGTCACTATAGAACTCAGGATAGTTATAATGAAGAGCAAGTGCAGTCAACTTACGTGGGGGTAGCTGATAAATATCCAACGCAAGCTCTGAAGATGAACATTGAGAGAAGAACTGATTTCCTATGTTATTAACATATAAAGAAGCTGGATTCAGCAATTCTAACTATAAATATGAATGTACTTCTGCAAAGCTACTCCTTTGCTTATCATTAGGCTTAAGTCAAGATCGTGCTGTCAGATGCTCTGTTAGGAAAGCAGTAAGAAAGTATCATCATATGCTCTTCCATTTCTAAGTAGCTCTTCCCAAGAGGCAACCTTCTACATTCTCTGCACTAAGACATTGGGATGCTTGTATTTGGAGATAAATTTTGCCTTTGTTTCACCAGAAACTACTCATTATAAAATTGGAAACAGTCATTTACAGTTTAGTTCCAAAATCAGACTTCATATAACAATAATATTGCTCCTACCCAATACACATTCAGCGTCTGGCTACTTGGATGGCTTCTGAGTAAGGGCTAGGTCTACCAGTGCTAAAAACACTACAATTAGATGACAGCAGTTACTATTATAACTGAAGAGAACGTAGAGAGCATGATTATGTACATACACATTAGCAGGGATGCTGCTGCACTGCTGATATCATTAAGCACCATACAACATGAACGAGTAACAACCCCATGTGTAATTTGTTTAAATGTAAACAGCTGTAAGTACTCGCAGTGACTGTCACACATCTTCCACTGAAACACCACTGAAATGGTTGTGGAATATTTACTCTGAAATGTTGGTTGGAATGCATTTCTAGAGTTCCTCTAGTTTAGTCTTTCACTCAAGTAGGACTACTGACAACATGGGAGCAGGTCAGCGATGGCTTTGTCTTGGCAAGCCTTGAAAGCCTCTACAGACAGAGATCTCAATACCTCTCTGGTTTCCCTGTCCCACTGCTAAACTAACACCCAAGGGAAAGGTGTTTCCAAATATACCACCTGAACTTCCCAAGCCACAATTTACTATATTGTCTACCTACAAAAGTTCGGCTCCATGGCACACTTGCAACTCTTCAAATATTTGTTGGGAAGTATTAATGTTCCCTTTGCTAGACTAAACAAGCTCAGGTCCCTCAGCCTATTTTCATACAGTATGGGCTCTGGGCCCTTCATGCCTTTCCCAACAGTTTATGTGATCATGAAATCGTGTTTATAAATCCTTTACAATTATTTCAGAAGGAAATGGAATGGAATTGTACTAAGGATGGTGAACAGACATTCTGGTATTTTGTCACTACAGATGTTTTGCAGGAATTGAAAGATGGCCTAGAGATTTTTAAGTAGATTTTATCTGCTTGAGCAGATAAAGCAATATAGGTCCTGAGTTCACTGTAACAGATTAAACATTCTAACATGGCTTCACTATTTCGTTTTAGAATGATTCAAGGATTAATCAAAAAATATGAAGCAATTCATTTTTTGACTAATCAATCTCTGCTTAACCTTCTGCGGTCTTTCATCTCTCTGTTCCTCCAATGTCTAAGAGCAAATCAGCTTTTACGGATGTAATAGCAGATAAAACTATTTTTGTTCCAGACGTAGTTTCTCCACCAATACACTGTATTTTTTTCTAAAATTTCTCTTAAACGGGTTTTCTGTTGCTAATGATAGCTCATATCATTGCATGCTCACCATTTTCCTTTATTAAATATATATGCAACATTACTGCCATAATATTTTTAATCACTTGAATTAAAAAATTTTGACAAGACAAAATTGTTGAATTACTCACTGTTCTGAAAAACACTTGCCATTAACAGGATGCACTTTTTCTTATGTAAGAGCAGGCAGTATTTAGTAGTTTGTTCAAACACTAGATCTGATTTTATGAGCCAGCTCTACCTCACCAAATTGCTTCCAGAAAAATTTTCTTTCAGCCTCTGTAGAAAAGGCTGCATAAAGAAACTTGCGAATAACTAATGTACAGAAATGTGCAGCTGGAGCTGGCTCAAGGTTTCTCAGTAGCTGACAGCCATTCTCAGCAGCGATGCCAACTGTTCACAGCAACCCCACTCCGACAGCAGCAACAGCTTATCGTGGCCTCTCTGGCTTTGCAGGCAGCTGGCATAAGTAAAATGAGCAGCGGGATCACTTTTTTCACCATCCCCCAAGATCTGTTGGCCTGGGCAACTTCCCTGCTCTGCTGTTGTCTGCAGTCAGTCCTGAATTGCATAAAGACATATTGATATCTCCAGCCATTACTCCATTTTTCTTGTTATGATATACAGATGCCAGCATAAAATTCTCCCATCCTCCACACAACCCGACACAGTCACCAGTCCAACGTAAAAATACCATCATGAAACACAGAACAAAAAATATGGCAGTCAAACCCACAAGTGAATAGAAAATTAACTATAAACAGATCATATAATCTTGGACAAGATTATTCCAATTTCTAATTAAACACCAAGAAAAAACACTGTACTTATTCATGAATCATGGGACTGTCCAGTTGTATGACTAGAAACATGTTTTTATAAAACATAAATAAAAATAAAACGAAATTTCTTTCTACCATGTAGCTCTTACTATATAAAAGATTTTACGCTGACAAGTTTTTCTGTGACCGTTAAATACTAACACAAATATAACTAGACATAAAAACCATGTTTCCTCACATTTTTATCCAAATGCAAACTCTTAGTCTTCCTCTTTTTTTAATAGATTAAAAAAGAGTATACTTCCTTCCACTTTTTTTTTTAATCCTATGCTTTCAGTTTTCATGTTAAAATGATGGATTTCTAGTTTGAATTTACATATTGAAATTCTCTTTGCTATCTGTTGCTGTGCAAAAATATGCAATTACTCCTGCAATTACAGAAATAACAGAATTGGCATAATTTATAAGCACTTGACTCTAAGAAGTCAAATCCTGAGAAATATCTGAAGAATGCTAAAATAGCATTTAAAAGCTGTATCAGCTGGTACCCTGTGAAGGAAAAGCAGCACTTCCCAGCTAACAAACATAGTGCTTTGCCAGAAAAGACGAAGTACAATATTAATCTGAAACAATACAGAAGCAGTAGTGAGTGGAGTTTCACCCATTACTGTCTTTACAATTGTCTAGAGTGGCACCTAGTGGGCATACTGTAACTTACATATTGTATGAAAAATGTAATAATTAATTTTTGTCTTAAAAATTGTTAGATAGTGTCTGTTAACAAAATTCGGATTTTACAGATTTTGATGGACTGAATTTTGCTGAGAGAGAAGGTGATGAGGAGGTAAACAAGATGCATTTTTTCAGTCAACAACTTGCACTGTATATATGACTATGTTTATCCTGGTACCAAATGTTTATTTGAGTGAGAGGGCATTCAGAGACAATAATTGTAGAAGAGGAGGCACTGACGCAAGAGAGCTTCAGAAAAAAACACAGGTGTTAATATTTCAGAAGTTGTTTAGTATCACAGTAATGGACTATTATTTTACCCGACAAAATCTTGTGCATGTGAATGGTTTTTGTGTGAAAGTCTGCATTAATAAGGAATGTATCCATTCGCCAAATAAGACTTCCAGCAATTATTTAAGTAGAAGCACTGGCTGGCTGGACAGAAAGACCTACAGTGTATTCCTTGGCTAGAAATCTAATAGAGCTGCTACATGAAAGCTGGGAAATAACAGAGGAAATCGGGAAGTGGGAGGTAAGTGCAGAGTCCTCCACTATGTAAAAAAGTAAATACAGCATCAAAACTGGAAGCACTTCAGATTTTTGCCACCAGTATGAAGCATAATCTTGCAGCTATACTGCTGTAACTAACCATCTATGAAAAAGCTGCAATGGTTGTTTACAAATATTTTGATGAATAACTCAAATGCAGTAAGAGACAACTTCAAACACAGAGCTCAGGAATAATTCCTTTATTTTCTTCACTGGTCTTGAATCTTTCTGCAAACTAGCCTGACAAAAAAAGCTGCCGGTAGAGGACATTCATCAATGACAGAGACAGCGGAATCAAGCGCACCCTCAGCAAGTTTGCAGATGACACCAAGCTGAGTGGCACAGTCAACACGCCTGAGGGAGGGGATGCCATCCAGAGGGACCTGGACAGGCTGGAGAAATGGGCCTGTGTGAACCTCATGAGGTTCAACAAGGCCAAGTGCCAGGTCCTGCACCTGGGTTGGGGCAATCCCCGGTATCAGTACAGGCTGGTGGGTGCAGGGATTGAGAGCAACCCTGCCAAGAAGGACTTGGGGGTACTGATAGATGAAAAACTGGACATGAGCCGGCAATGTGCCCCTATACGCTGCTCTGGTGAGACCCCACCTGGAGCACTGCGTCCAGCTCTGGAGTCCTCAGTACAAGCAGGACATGGACCTGTTGGAGAGGGTCCAGAGGAGGGCCACAAAAATGATCAGAGGGATGGAACAGCTCTGCTATGAGGAAAGGCTGAAAGAGCTGGGGTTGTTCAGCCTGGAGAAGAGAAGGCTGCGGGGACACCTTACTGCGCCCTTTCAATACTTAAAGGGGGCTTCTAAGAAAGATGGGGACAGACTTTTTAGCAGGGCCAACAGCGATAGGACAAGGGGTAATGGTTTTAAACTAAAAACCTTATATCAGACTAGATATAAGGAAGAGATTTTTTACCATGAGGGTAGTGAAACACTGGAACGGGTTGCCCAGGGAGGTGGTAGATGCCCCATCCTTGGCAACATTCAAGGCCAGGCTGGATGGGGCTCTGAGCAACCTGATCTAGTTGTAGATGTCCTAGCCAATTGCAGAGGGGATGGACTAGATGACCTTTAAAGGTCTCTTCCATCCCAAAGCATTCTATGATTCTATGATGACTGCGAAGACATATGTGTAGATAAGAACTGTATTTTTAAATCACCCGGGAGGAGAACTCTCACCTCTCCGACAACTTAAATTTGCAACACTGCACTTGCAAATATATGGCAATTTTATGTACCCAGCAGAGGGACAGATGAACAAGATGACAGCTGAAATCCATCAAATCAATGTGTTCAACAACCATCAAAGCACAAAAATACTGTCCAAAAAAAAAAGTCGTCCAAACAGTGTTCAAAAAACATGGTCCAAACATCGCTGTCAAATATTTTTTTAAATAAAAAAATTGGCTGATAAATTAATTTTGATGAAATAACATGAATGCCAGAATAATCAGTTTTTCATGAATACCTGCATATTTTTTAGAAAAACTGATGAAAATATTTTAAAATTAAATTGTCATTGAAAAAGGCCCTTTTCTGGACAGCTTTCACACTGGTTATAAAAAAAATAAGTGGCAGTTATCTTTGCCAGCAATTGCTGCCAATAGCAACATTTACCAGCAGCATTTCTGGCAGCCTCTGCAAGCAGGTTCACAGTCATTCAACCTCCCATCTCCATTATGAACCACCCACTTTAACAAAAGAGAGAGGGGTTCTGGCTCTTCCTTATCCAAATGCTTCCCAGTACTGATAATTTACATTCAAAAGGTTCTTTATCCAGCAACCAAAAAGAAAATACATACACATATGTGTGAACAGGTACGAACAGATACAATACATACACCAACAAGGTTTGGCACAGGTGGTTAATGTGTTATTTTCTCTAGTTTCCAAATAAACAATGAGATCTGGAGATTTCATTTCCCATGGAAATAATATTGTTAAATAATTACGAAGACCATTTGAGGATTTTAATTCTATCTGGGAGTTCATATTATCACTCTGCCCTATGCTCAATTGTTCTGGATTGCTGAGTGTTGATGAGAAAAACAGACAACTGAAATATTATGTTTCTTCACGATGCAGAAAAAGAGAAGTGCTCTGATCTCAACGTTGTTTTCTTTCAGCCTTCATGCTAAGCCATGTAGGACTAGCCTGCGAATAAAGAACACAAAGTGCTGGAAGAGAAGTGGAAGCATGCCCAGATGTGAACAGCAAGACAGTTCTGATGGAAAAAATGAAATACGTGCTTCAGATAATTGCCTCCATAAAGAGTGAAAGTATTTGGAACTCTGTGGCCTCGTGCCGTTTCTTATTTTTCTCCCACATCAAAAGACAGTGCAACTGGGACATTGTACCAATTTGTCACCCGTTAACAGATCACACTGACGAACACTACAGAAGTTCCATCTTGGCTGTGGATACTCATGTATTTTGCAGCTGTATTTTGTCTAGATTCAAAACATGAGCATGTATACCTGCATCTACATACCTGTATGCACACACAAATGACTTCACAATAAAAATACCTATCCTGGGTTTCATGTAATTATTTTAATGTAATTTTAATACATTAGACTTTAACTGGAATATTTTTTAACAAACCAAGCAATGTTGATCCTTTCTACTTGGGACAACCTAAGAATAATAAAATTTTCCATCAATCAAAGAAACTGACATCCTTGCACAGTACCTTTATTCAGTACCTGAAGCACAGAAACATTGCAGAAACCCGCCCTACAAAGTTCCTTCAGTTTCAATTTGCAGTTGTGGCTGAGGTACTGAAGACCAAATTTTCTAAAGATCCTGCTTAAAATCACAAGACAGTTCTTCAGTGTAAATTAAGTACTATGAAGGTAACTACATTAATTCAAATATCTACCACCAAATAAAGTAGGGTTCTTGAGGGTTTTAAAGAAGCTATGGCAAAACTTTATAGCATGACCACAAAGATGATCCACAGAGAAACAAACAAACAAAATCTCCTTTCAGTTGTGAAACTGATTCTTCTACTTAGAATCACAGAAGAATTTATGTTGGAAAGGACCTAGGGAAGTCATCTGGTCCAACTCCTTGCTCCCAGCAGGACTAACTGTCACTAGATCAGGTTGCTCATTGCTGTGTCCAGTCAAGCTCCGAACGTCTCTCTCCAGGATGAAGATCCTACCCCTCTAAGCAACCAATTCTACTTCACTCACTCATATGTAGCTATCATCTTTCAGCCCTCGTGATCTATGAATACCAAGCTGAACACAGTTTTACTGAGGGCCACTGTATATACAGACTATTAAGTCACTAGACAGTTTGAATGATCCTCTGGTGGTAATGCTTTGGACAAAGCATTTTTAAGAACAACTTTCTTGACAGATTATTTAGCTCCACACTGCTTCCAAAAGGGACTCCACCAGTCACACATCCGTTCTTCCTTCCATCTCTCCTGTTCCACTTGATTGAGTACCCCCTTGAATTCTTGCAAGGTTTGTGCAATGGCTTTTGGAAACATTGCTTGAGTCACTTCCAGATCTACTGGTTCGGTTTGCATCTCAAAATAAAAATGTTATGCTTCCCTACTGCTATTGCCATGCAAATGTCTGCTTACTGGTAAATGAACCTGCTACTCTACATTTCAGAAACCTAGAAGACTTGATGGGGGATCACAGCTGCACTTCGCTCCTAAGTAACAGCCACTGCTTTAAAAGTTTATAAACTCAGGATAAATCTGTAAGACAACAGGATGCTGAACACAGAATGAGAGAGCATCAAGTTATAGCAGCAGAATTCTGAACAGTGCAAGCAGCAGTCTTCACGCAACTCTGGCTGCTACACCACTGCACATTACACAGCAGCAATGGGGCAGATTTAAGCAAGTTTCTGTGGAACTCTTTCTGTTCAGAATGAGGAGAACGGTAACACATGCCAAAGTATTTGTTGGAATATTTTAAAAATGACTGATCAAGACTGGCACAAAAAAGATTCAATCTGGTTATCCTACCAGGTTAGATGATGCAGGCCCTTAAAGCAGACAAACCATTTGCTTCCATGTGGTAAGGAAGTGAAAGCCACTGGACAGATGAACACCAGGCAAAAGCAAGAAGCTGGGAAAATTATCTTTATGGCATCATTTTTGTGGATGTCCGTTGAGCAATATGGCCTTTGTCAAGATCACAGAAAAGATAGATCCTAGAGAATAGTTTAACATGCATAAAAGGACACACAGGAAGTAATGGCAATATCAGACATAGCTTGAAGGCATGTGTCTAGGATTTCTTAACCCAAGGGATCAATTTTGCTATTATTTTAAAAACTAAGAATTCTTAAGCCATTCCAGCCTGCTTCATACATTACAAACAATTTCAGCAAGAACTGCAATCTGGGATCAAACCTGTAAATACATGAATTATAAGGAGGTGGTACTTTCTGTAAAACTTTAATGCAAAGTGGATGACAACTCTGATGATGAAAGGGAAGGGAAGGAAGTACTGGTCTAAGAGAAATTCAGTTACAAATTATTACGTTAAAACTAACAATTTCGGCTGCAGCTAAATCAAATTCATTAAGACATAGTACAAGCTTTTAAAAAACAGACAAAAGTTTAAAAAAAGCTTTAAAACAAAGGCTTTTTTAAAAAAGAGCAGTGCTGTGCTTGACAAGAATCTCCTCCTTTTCTGACTAAAAAGAACCAATAATGGTTCTTAATAAACCTCTTAGAAGGGTTGCAAATGACCTGTCTGGATAGGATATATAAGTGAATTAGACCTTAACAGTAAAACTGGTTCTATTTGCTTTGTTATTCAAGGTCAGTGAAAACCCAGCAAATAAACCACCTATGAAATACAAGTTTTTAAAGTTATATTAATGTTATTATTTTAACAAAGGAAGAGACAATTCCGTTATTCTTTTATAAGTTGTTTCATCCATCAATGAAAATAAATTGCTTAACAAGTAAAATACTGAAAAAAACCCCATTGTTTTTCTAAGGCATAGAGATGCATATATAAGATACTTGTATATATATAGGATACATAGTATGTATTTATAATGCTGGGCATTGGTGAAATTCCTTACTCAAAAGTCAAAGTAGAAGGAATATTAATTATAAATATTAACCATATTTACCTCCAATCCTATTAAAAGTTCACATTTTACAATTGTATTTTTTTTGTTTTTTTTTTTTTAAACCAAAATGTATCAGCTCTGACCAAAATAATCTAAAATGGCATTTTTCCCCCAATTTATTTTGTGTAATGGATGTTCAGAACACTTATACTGATTTACTTCTAAAAATTACCTTTTATCAATGAATACTTTATGATGTCTAATGCCTCTGTAGCTTTCCAGCCTCTGATGATATGATAGTATTTGCTTTTTGATAGTTTAGAAAATCTCAAAATTTTCCTTAGCCTATTAATCCATTAATTCAGCTGAACTGAGGAAATTGTATCCTGCCTTTTCTGTTTTTCCTCTGGGAACACAGGAAAAGAAAGATCTCTACCTATAAAAAGCCTACATTTTTGTAACTGCCACAGACCTATACAAGCTCTATGAAATTGTATACACCTTAAGACTTTCAGTGTGCTAATGTGGAAGAAAAATATGTACAAGCATCAATAAATACCATCCTTTCATTTCCCAGTACTTAACAAGCTCTGCAAAGATTATGAAAACCTCTTTTTTATGAAACCAGGTTTTACAGGTATACTGTGATGTCTCTAGTCCTTCCATAACTGCAAGTGGTTACCGTTTCTCTTATAAAGCTGGAACTCGTTTTTGCATTTATTGCACTGAGACCATGAGATTTTATATGTTTAGAAGAGCTACCTGTGACACATACTTAAATGCAGCATATCCTGGAATATGGATTAATACACTTTATCTAGAAAAGGGTCTTTATTTAAGAAAACAAGTTGATTTTAAAAATGGGAAGTTCTAAAGTGTGCTTTTTGATAAAACTGCGAATTTCTCTAGATCTGCTGGTACAATTCAGAGCAAAAGCCTGACCTAGAGAACATAATACATCATAAATGAATTTACCAGAGAGATGATTCCTTCATTTTTTATCTCACCTCTAATTCTTTCAGACTTTTCTGAGAAAGTGAAAAGGTCAAACATCTGATAATTTAACTTATAACATGTTCTCCTTCGTCACATCATATCAGACTGAGGGATGATTTACTTAATTTACAGTACTATTAATGTAATTAGTATATTATGTCCTCTGGATCAAATTTTGTCCTCATTTCCACCAATGAATCCAGACAGACTTACTGTTTTATTAAGGGCAGAATTTGGAACACTTGGCTATCTCTCCTTTGACATGTATTTAAGAAAAGAAAGGCATTTCAAAACTGTACATCATCTGAAATTTTTGAAACATATGTTTAAATACACTGTCCTTACCAATTCTTCTCATTTTGTATTTATGCATCAAAATCAGATGCTTAGCTATGTACAATCTAGACATATACTTAAGAGAGGAGAGATAACACTGTTTCTGAGTATTGCCTGTTAAAGGAATCATAGTTAAAATAAGTTGGGCAGCCATGCGTGCTTTTCTTCAGGATTGAAGCCCCCAACTCTTTAGCTGCAGATATTTGTCATGGGAGTGCAATTTCATGGATATATAATTTAAGAGTCATCCTACACAGGACTCAGAATACCAGGCAGTCTGAACACTCATCTTATTTTCTATGTATGATGTCTCCTTACAGAGTAGTTATAATATATTCCTCAGAACTTTTAATACTTAACTCCTCCAAGGGCAAGAAGACAGCAACAGTTCCCAGCTCAATCCCATATATACCCAGTGAGTAAAAGCCCTTGAGAGACACTAGCAAACCCTCTGCACTCAGTATAGGCTCATCTGATTTATAATCTGAATGTATTTCTCTTTAATAAGCTAAACAAGGGAAGAAACGGATTTACAACTGAGAGTCTATCAGGCACTATATTTCGAAACACAAATCAAGAGTCTTAAGGGCTCTAAAACCAGTTTCATAATGACGGTCATATAAACACACATGCACCAAATAGCAAATAATAATTCTTACAGATTTACGTTTACACATGAAAATGACATTAATGAAAAAATGTATTAACTAAAAAGAATGCCACAGATGATTAAAAAGTACAGTTTCCTTTGTAAAAACATACTACGAGGAGAGACTTCAGGCAATAACATGCAGTGGACTAATTAGAAAAAGAAAGTAGGCCACCTTACAAAAATCATACTGTTTAATCAGGCCATGAAAGCAATGCAAAGGGAGTAGCAGAACACTGCAAGTTGTCGAGTCAGATCTTTTAATTTCAGTAAGAGGCACACAGATCAAAGAAGGATTAGATTCTATCATAGTTTCACACTGTTGGCATACATACGAGGAAAGTAGGGCATTTACACACACTCTCTCACTTTGGTGTTAAAATTTTAATACTGTTTCACAATTTAAAGGTAAGTGCGAAAAAGTATCTCTTGGCTGATTACCAAAGCCTCCAAGTTAAATTACTGTCTTCCCTACTGTCATGGTTTAACCCCAGCCAGCAACTAAGCACCACGCAGCCGCTCGCTCACTCCCCCCAGGTGGGATGGGGGAGAGAATCAGAAGGGTAAAAGTGAGAAAACTCATGGGTTGAGATAAAGACAGTTTAATAGGCAAAGCAAAAGCCGCACATGCAAGCAAAGCAAAGCAAGGAGTTCATTCACTACTTCCCATGGGCAGGCAGGTGTCCAGCCATCCCCAGGACAGCAGGGCTCCATCACATGTGACGGTTACTTGGGAAGACAAATGCCATTGCTCAGAATGTCCCCCCCTTCCTTCTTCTTCCCCCAGCTTCTATACTGAGCATGATGCCATGCGGTACGGAATAGCCCCTCTGCACCTGGCAGAGCACGAGAAGCTAAAAAGTCCTTGACTAGTGTAAACTCTGCTCAGCAAGAACCAAAACATCAGTGTGTTATCAACATTATTCTCATCCTAAATCCAAAACATAACACTCTACCGGCTAAGAAAATTAACTCTATCCCAGCTGAAACCAGGACACCTAATGAGCTTGTCACACCTCAGTGAAGAACAAAAATATTTTGGGGGGTGAATTTCTTAATTCAAGGTGTCAACTAACACATTTAAAACCAATCCCCATATTTCTGCCATACCCACGTTCAGGCAAACTACGCTTTGCTTTATGCAGAATAAATAAACCCATTCTTCTCCCATGCATCCTGGGACTGCAATGTTTAGAGATGGGAGGGAAGGGAAAAGGAAGGGAAGAAAGCCATGCTCTGGTATACCAACAAAATCTAGACAGACAGGCTACAGCTTGCCGAAAGCCAAAACTAAGCTGCCCAGGTAAGTGCTTAGCTCTAAGACAGTCTGGATCCATCCCAGAGCTACAGTAACACAGGCCTAAGGCTGCTGGAAAACAAAAACTCATTTGAATTAAAGTTATGACCATATTTTAAAGTGAAAGACAAAAAGCTTCAGAAGTTTTCCACTGTTGTTAATAAGAAACACAAATAGATCAGCAGCGAAGTGGAGGAACCACTTGCAAGACAATGAGAAGTTTTACAGCTTTTGCCTCCACGAAGTGTTTCGAAAGTGAAAACTTGAAAAATAAAAATATGCTTTATGAATAAAGTGATCTTTTTCATAATAGTTGAGAAGTAGTTATAGAAAAGTTATCACAACTTCAGGCATCACTTCAGTCATTGGAGAGCCCAAAACATAAAGGAAAGCTTCAGTCACATGTTCTATTCAGCTCACAACACGTGAACCCTTTTAGCTTACAAGAACACAGAGCAAGATTGTATACTCCAAATGATTCAACCTAGGAAGATACTGCTCCGTCTTCTACAGTAGGGATGCTCTAAGTCATGATCTACACGCTGAAGTTATTTGACAAACCACAGCAAGGGTCTGAGCAAGCCACCTAACTAGAACAGGATACACTTAATAGGGAACCAGAGTCCAGTAAACCTCTCCCTATGAGACAGTTCCTACAAGAACTTCTCCCTGTGAGAAATATGATATGAAAACATAGTGATAAATAGCTAACATAAGGAAGTTTGGAAGCTTATTTTGGATAGTTAGAATAGCGTTTGAAAATTATTGTAACTGATTTTTCTTTGTGTGATTTCCAACACATTTTGTTGTGACTTATATAATTAAAATGCTTAATACTTCTGTTTTGACTTTGTGGCTACAAAAGAATAATGCAAACAGAAAAAGACAGAACCAGACATTTCCGGCTTGGCTGGAAATGAGCCAAGTCTGCCTGAGTTAACTTTTTATCTACATGTGTCTAGCTTCCAACATTACAAGAGATGAAGTTGGTGCAGATTACATCATCATTTTTGTAAATTCAGCTTTAAATGATATAGTTGATTATATAACTAACGTAACAATATTTTTCTTTTATGGAAAGACTACAAATGTAAAAGCTTTCAGGGCTCCCACACTTTATTAAAAAATGAATCCTGAAGAAAGCTCAGCATACAAACATGAACGTCTAGGGACACCTGTTTTACCTTGTTATGTCAACCATTCTCTTAAACAGGGAAATCAACATGGATGCAGCCATGAAGAACATTCAAATGTTTTCTTTTTTTCACCTAACTTTTCTAAGTATGTGTTAGAAGACTTGCATATGACAGTCAGTAACTCATAAAAGTTTGAGGAAGAACTTAAAATAGTCCTCAGAAAAGACAAAAAAATCTAAACATTAAATAATCTTCCCTACTCTGTACAACAGCATTCAAAATACTGGATGTGTGCTTTGCCCCCTCAACTCATCCATTCTTACGTCTGTTATTTTTTGAAATAAAAATACAATATACATCCTATGTTTTAAGTCAAAGGAATGAAGTTTACTACTTCAGGGTCTGTTCTAGCAAAGAATCTATAAATTTTATCTTAATTTCCACTTCCTATTTTTGTGGCTCTTCTACATAATACTAACTGCACAAATAGCTACACTAAGAACATTTCTCTGTATTCAACTGTATTCCCGTTCAACACAAAATAGATATATTTCTTTGAATCCTCCATGGAGCGGATCAGCTTTGCCATATTTGAAGACTGATCCACTCCTCCCCTCTTGATCCCTGTAGTGCTTCTTACTCCAGTGGGTGCAGTTGCGTATGACTGCTGGTAGACACATTTGGAAAACACCTGGGATCGGACAAGTGAAGTTATTTTTTCTTTAGAAACTGGTGCTTTTTGCTGATGTTTCCTTACCTCATTATCTGACTCCACAAGCACTTGATCATATTCACTAAGAGCTACAAGGAACATGATAGATGTGACGTTTTCAAAGCAATGTATCCATTTTCTTCTTTCTGATCGTTGGCCTCCTACATCCACCATTCTGCAAAATTAACATCCACATCAACTCCATGAATACCATAGAAGATAAACACACAAGCACACACACAATGGCAAAATTCAAGAATTTCGCAGAAAACACAGTTTGCTTTGTTTTTCTTAATGATTTTTTCCATTGATATTTAATGGAATCTGTTGTACGTAGACAGCTAATCATATTTGCTTTTAAGTCTGATGTATTTTCTGAAATTAAATTATTGTAGGTCTCAAAACCCTCCGATTTCTGAGGTACAAAGGTCTCATGAGCCATGATTCAGCAATGTATGCCCTGTGTATTCAGCAGAAATACATGTGAACAGACTAGGCTTGGTGGGCTGCCTTTTTCCCTCCAAATTACCAGAGTCAATATTCCCAACTTGTTAAAGCTGCCCCATTTTAAGAGGACAAATAGAATACAGTATGTATCTACTAAAATTTTGAACACCCAAAATTGAAACTCAAATTTGCTTGCACTGTATTCCCGCTTCATCCTGTGTCCCAGCGTAACTAAACACAGGTGTCTAATTTGCAATTGCATAGTTATTTTTTAAACAACAGTACTTGCACACAAGTAGGGTGACTGCTCTCTAAAGGGGAGTAATTTCTCTCTAAAAATTAACTACACAAGTGGTAGCTTTGTATTCAATAATTTACATGAATTACGAGGACACATGATTGTATTTTCAGATTATTATTGATAGTGAAACTTTGATATTTATTATGGAAAAGATGAATTGCAGGTTTTTCTATAACTACCTTCAGAAAAAGACAAACCTAATTTTCTTTCATCCTTTTGACATCTTGCTGCTTGTTATATGTGGACAATTACACGAAAATATAATGACCAAGCTCAAATTTTAAAAACATAGAATAATAGCTTTTTATGCATTTTTAACCAATATCCTACATATGGTATTACTAATGTAAAAGAAAAAAAAAAAAAGAAACAAAGCAAGTGGGTGTTAAAACTTTTTCTGTACCTGAAAATGACACTTTGTAAGTCGAATGGATATTCAATGATCCCTGTTGTTGGGACTCGAACTCTGAGCACATCTTGCTGAGTTGGCAGATAGGTGGAATCTGCTATGCGGTCCAAGTCGTTAAGATAGCTGTAGACAGGGAGAAACAACAGGAATGCAAGACAGTGACAACATCATCCCACTGAGTAAAAGAGAAAGGAAGACTTGGGAATGGAAATGGGTTGTGGGGTAGGAAGAAGTACAACAGAAAAAAGAGCATTATTGGCATAAAAGAGGGGCAAAGTATAAAAATGTGCTCCATCTTCCCTTCCTGTACACTTTCATAGCTTCAAGTAAATTCTACAGAAGGGTAGCATAATTATTCTGGTTTTTTTCATACAAGTTTGCTTGGCTTTCACATGTAAATTCATCAGAGATTCAAAGTTTGCAATTATGTAATTCTAGGCAATTTAGAGACAAATATTATAAAATGTGTGAGAAACAAAATTGCACAGTTTTATTTGAATATGTAATACATTTCTTGATATTCATTCTCTAGTGTCTGCACAGATACATGGATAGACAAACATGAATCTCCCAAGGAACAGTGAACTGCTGTAGAATAGATCATTATCAGTTATAAAATGATAGGTGGATAAATGGTACTGTTTGGAGATTAAATTAAAAAAAATTAAAAAAGGAAAAACTCGCCCACTGACAAATTAAAAAACGCTCTGGGTCTTGTTATCAGAAGGCAGCACTGATTACTTAGTGGGATCTCTGGCACCTGAAAGTGTCCTGCATTCACACTGAAACTTCTGATTTAAGTTAATAAGCCTGCAGTACATGAAATACACGCCAGTCAGTTAGCAAATAACCTGAAATTGCAATAAAATTGCTTGTAAAGGTTCATTAACTACAACACAAAACCTTCTGCTATTGCTTAATGGTGGGTTTCAGCCATATAGCACCAGTGTACTGAAGGTTTCAATTAATTCTCACAAAAGAGATGCTTCAAAAAAGGAGTGTACCAATGTGTGCGTGATAGGCTGTTTGGGTCGGGAGCTGAACATCTCATGAAATCAGTGCACCAGGCAGCTTTTGCGCTCCCCATGGTAGACGTCTGGGAGAACGACTGCTGCAGAAAATGAAGTTCTTGGGCATTTGGTTACATCCCAGAACAAGAGTAACCTAGAGTTAGCCACTGAGAAGATAAATTAACCTACGGATGCCCTCATTCATTCTAGGGGAGGAGAGCAATTGTCTTGTAATTTATCGAATGATGATGAAGTATCACTAAGCTCTGAACATGTTCTTTTCCTTGCAGTTATTAGTGAAGGTGCTCTTTTTAAATAAACGCACACAAGAAATAATTAGACGACTTCTAGATGCTCTGAATGATTTCTTAATGAAATAGTGAGAGCAAGTTATCCTAAACAAAGACAGAAACAAAGCAGTTTGATTTCTAGCTTACAACAAAAATACAGAAGAATTAATTTGTTAGGTCTGGGAGGGAGCCAAAAACATTATCAAACCTCTCTCACTATGATTTTACTCATGAAAGATTAATCCGATAGTAAACATCAAGTGTGAGAAAGTTACATATAGTTAGAAAGATCTATTGAACTATATATCTCAGATAATTTAGAAGCTACTACTATGAAAATATTTTCTGAGAACACTGGTCAGTTTCTGCCAACAAGAAAAAAGCTTGAGATTCTGAGCACTTCATCTGCCCTCAGGTGTTTTACACAAAAAGCAGAATGGACAAGCACATCATCAGTTTGTTGGTGAAAAAAAAAAAGTATAAGTGAATGAAATCCATAACCACAACAATAAGAAACTGACCGAGACCCTGAACTAGCTTCTTTTTCCCTCTCACCCCCCAAAAAATTGGTTTTGGTTTTGTTTTGTGACTGTATTTTGGAAGGGTACAAACAAGCATTGTGGGTCATTACATGCTACAGTGGTATTCACGAGAGAAGAATTTTAACTGAATAAATTGCTGGGTGGCCCATTTACACAATTGTCTTGCTGCATTCCTTTGGCAAGCTTCAGCCAAAGTGAGCCTGGTTACCGCACCTCTGCACCATCAGCACAGTAGACATGTTACTAAGATACGCTGTAATGCACATCTGGCTGATTGTAGAAAGGCAGTAATGCAAAGGGATATTACTAAATAGTTAATACCCATTTGTGTTACTGGAAACCATTAAACAGGCAGATGAGAAATTTTTTTTGTCCTAATGCATATCACTTATGTCATTAAGTTCCAGAAGCATTAATTTATCCTTAAAAAATACTTTATCTTTTCCTCATCTTCATTCAGTTCTGCTCAAGCTCTACTCATTCAGTTACTAAACAGCAACCTTCTCACTCATTTCACCCGTAGCACCTTACAGAGCCTATACAGTCCACAGAAGAGTCCTTATGCATCCTTATGGAGTCCTGTTTCTCTCCCTACATTTCTTCAGTTGACAGATCAAAGGATGTTGGGCTCTCTAAGAAGTGTCCTAAATTATACATTCAAACACAGAATCAAGGAGCAGTGCCAAAACAAGTTAAGAGTACGTCACAGGAAAAAATCCCAAAAAATCAGGTATCATGAACAAAATCCTTTAAAATCTTTGTGATACTGACAAATCACAACCAGAATCTACTGTCCAACAAAAGCAATTTACAATACGTCCCGCATTTTTTATTTTCAAATGACATTTAGCCCCTACCACTTTTCCTTCTAACTAAAAACATAATAAATAAACATATTATTGTATCCATTTATTTAAATGAAAATGAACCAGTTCTTTGTTGCACAACCTTACTTTTACATCTTTTATTATTGCTATTTTCATGCTGTGAGCATACAGCAAATAGTCAATTAAATTCTTTTTAAGTAAATAAAAAAAATCTCTTTTAAGGCTTGATTTTTTTTTTTTTTAAACCAGCCATTTCTTCTGAAGAATTACTTGTGCTGGAATTCAGATTTTAATGAAGTTTGTGCATTGTTGCTCTGAAGCAAAGGAGTAGATATTTTCTCCTACTGACTTCAACAGTTCTGCAGATCAGTTAGAACTCCTGTTACCATATGAGGATATGTAACCTCACATTCTGCTAACAACTTCAAGGGGATTAAACATGTTTCTGAAAATCAAACTGAAAGCTTTGCCTGCAGCAGCAACACAAAGTTCCCTTCAAGATACTCTAAAATCACTAAAAACTCCCTAAGTCTCTCTTAAAATTCATGTAACCTCTAAAACAAAGTAACACAATTAATTAAAAAAAATCTATTTGGGTAAAAATGTGTATCATCGGGATTGACATCAAGGTCTTCTCCATTGTACCCACGGCTTTATATCACACCTGAAGATTTGTGATATATTGCAGAAGTGAATCACCTCTCATCAGTCAGGTGCAATCTTCCTAAAATACCAGTGGAAGCAAATCAACACGCTTATGCTCAATACTTTATCATGACTTCTGTATTAATTGCCTAACACTATATTTCTATGTCTACAGTACTACACAGACAAACCCCAAGACATTTTCTCTTCTCCAAGCACAAGAAGAGATTTTTGCATTGCATCAGGAGCGGTGGGCTGACAATGTGATTTTTCTGAGTAGCTGTTTTGTTGGGTTGACTCACTATTGCAAAATGCTGAGCAGGAATATGTAAATGAATACAGGTGACAATTTACATAAAAAGAAAAGACAACTGGAATAACACCATTAATATTTAAAGACAAACTACCAGCATACACAACTTTCACATATTACTACTATAGCTGTTCCTGTAACACTGAAAATTTAGAATTTCATTTATTTGGTTTATCATAGTTTAATTCACTGTCACAATGAAGACTTATATTTTCAAATCTTCCTCATACCAAAAGGGCTGGAAATTTAACTTTTTTTCCCCACATGAAAGCTGGGGTTTAAAAAACTCTATGATCACCAGGGGAATGCAGCACAGCATGCATAGGCTTTAAGCATCCTACAGCTTCTTAAACTAACAATTTATTTATTTTTAATTTAGCAAGCAGCAACTTTGAATAAAAACATCAAAATGTGCTAGCTAATGCCAATTCTTTTCCACCTTCAACTGTGCTGGCTCAAGCCCCACTCTAGCTGCACCTCTGCCCATCCCCAGCTGCCAGCTCTTCCGCTTGTGCAATGGCTTGATAACACATTTCTGTCAAAATTATTTGGAATAGTGAAGAAACACTATTGAAATTGTTCAAATTAAGCTAGTTTATTTGATGGATACAGCCTGGGGTGTGGGAAGTCCACAAGTTCCAGCAGGAAAGCAGGGTGGAGTTACTTCCTCCACTGGCTTATCTGCAACCAAAAGAGGACTCATGAAGCCAGGGCTATGTTAAATGCCTCAAGTCTCTGAATTCAGATGGGTGAGGAGTGAAAGAAAATGAAGATTTTTATCGACTTTTTTGTATATCTGCTTATTAAAAAAATGATTCACCATGGCTTTAAAGCACTTATCTAATGCAGCCCTAAACAAAGTACTGACAAATATATCACTCACCTGAGCAAACAAATCCTGTGCACGTACAAAAGAATTTAAGAATGTAAGAGATATGCACAGGGTATTTTAGGATAAATGCCTAACTCAAAATGTATGCACAAATACTGCAATCAGCCTTTGCAATCCAACTAACTCTTCAGCATATACTAGAAATGGCTATACATGCACTCTTGCACACAAACCACAAGACTTGTCATAAACATGAACTTCCACAAAAAGAATGTGCCAACAGTTGCCCAAACCAGATGTTTCCTCAGTTTATTAACTTTAAAAAATTTAAAATCATAATAACGACACGGATATTGGAAATACCCTGGCAATTGTCCTGAAAGCTAGTCCAAAACGGTGTAAAGACCAGTGTGACCACAGGGAATTCAGCTGTATGGGTAGCAGCAACTGTGCAAGCCATTTAGGTCTCAACTATATGGCACTCTGAGTTTATTTTTACCACCTACTAAGAAATGTCTTACTGCAATGAGACACACTGTAGCTATATGGCCTCTCACTCAAACAGTACCTACTCAGCTATGCATTATACAAAGGAACAAACAAGGCAAAATTGCGTAAAATTACTATAAAAAAAAAAATAGCCAAACCACATAGGTTTGAGTAA